TACAAAAATTAGCTGGACTTGGTGGTGGGGACCTATAATCCCAGCTACTCAGGAGACTGAGACAGGAGGATCACTTGAATCCGGAGGCAGAGGTTGCAGTTGTGAGATCGTGCCCCTGCACTCCAGACTGGGCAACGGAGCAGGACTCTGTCTTAAACAGACAAACCAAAAAAGGATTCCTTTTTTTGGAATGCTTTCAACTATCTGTTTGAAAATTTCTATTCCTCTTTTGCTGTTTCTACAAAACTAAGAACTTTGAGGAGTTATGCATAAAAAGCTCTAACTCAGGCCGGATGCGGTGGCTCACACCTGTAATCCCAGCACTTTGAGAAGCTGAGGCGGGCAGATCATGAGGTCAAGAGGTGGAGACCATTCTGACCAACATGGTGAAACACCATCTCTACTAAAGATACAAAATTAGCTGGGCATGGTGGTGCATGCCTGTAATCCCAGCTACTCAGGAGGCTGAGGCAGGAGAATCGCTTGAACCCAGGAGGCGGAGGTTGCAGTGAGCCGACATCACACCACTGTACTCTAGCCTGGGTAACAGAGTGAGACTCTGTCTCAAAAAAAGAGCTCTAACTCTTCTTTTGATTATTTTTAGAGTTAGTAATTTATAGCCTAAAGAATTACATAAGGCTGGGCACGGTGGCTCATGCCTATAATCCCAGCACTTTGGGAATTTGAGGCCAGTGGATCACTTGAGGTCGGTAGTTCGAGACCAGCCTGACCAACATGGTGAAACCCCATCTCTACTAAAAAAAATTACAAAATTGGCTGGGTGTGGTGGTGCATACCTCTAATCCCAGCTACTTGGGAGGCTGAGGCAGGAGGGAGGCAAAGGTTGCAGTGAGCCGAGATGGCACTATTGTACTCCAGTCTGGGTAACAAGAGCAAAACAATGTCTCAAAAAAGAATATATAAGGTGACGTCAGTTCATATAAACACAGATAAAATAGGATCTTGGGAACTATGTGTTGTATCAGTACATAGCAACGCTCATTTTACTGGTTATGAATAAGTGTCACAAAATGTATCTTTTCCTACAAAAGAAACATTATTATGAGTAGGCCACTTAGCATGCATATTATCATTTGCTTAGTACTGAGTGTCATAATGTCTTTTTTTTATTCTCATGTTCCTAAAGCAATAAGAAAAGCAGATGGGATAAAAACAACAGAAGGATATTATGCATGTGTTTATGCAAATAACATGGCTTAAACATTTTGTGATAGCTAAGTCAATGCTATGAATAATAAATAATTTATAGGCACTGAGTAGTCAAAATTTAAAGATGTAGAAGCTCACATTTATAGTGATTTCAAATTGATTTAGGAACCAAAGCATACTTTCATGACGAAGTCATTTTTCAGTCTTTTAACTACTACATCTACCGTTTTTTTCACCCTTTTAAAATCAAAATATGTGTGTGTATATGTATGTATTTGAAATAATGCTTATTATAGAAAATTTGAAAACGAACCCTGAAATTGCATCAGATACTTATTTCTGATAACTAGAACATTTTGATATCAAAAAATCAGTATAAACTCATGTGTTTTACTATCACCTTTTCTTCCCACCATAT